TCTTAGAAGTGGATTTCAGATTCAAAACAGACTGATCCTACCACACCTGTTGTGTCAGTGTTCATCAGTAACACAGAGGTTTTAACCAAGAGATTAACTGGGTTGTAATTACCTGGAACTAAGGGGTGAATCCAGACTTTGTGGGGCCTGAACCTTATGAAATTGGTCAAGTGCCAGCTAATGAAAAAACATACAAAATGTATGCATATAGAAGTTGCTAGGGCCCCAAGCAGGCCTTTGGAAGGGGCCTATGCAAGTGAGGAGCCCTAGGGCTTAGGCTCCACCCAATTCATGAGAAATCCACCTCAGCTGAGGCACTTGTATGAACCTTTGTAATGCTGCAAAAAATAGTACTGTATTTTAAATTATAATCAGCCTCAGGAATGAGTTATATTGGTCATAAAATTACTGACATTTTAACTTGGCAACTTCCCTCTGTAAAAAGATGTAAGTGTAGGGAGCGGCTAAAGCTGAAAGTTGGTCACATGTGTGGGGGCAAGGCAAGGCCTCTCCGAGAAGAGCACCTAAAGCAATCAAGCTGCTTCAGTCCTGAGAATACCTTGCCTGAGACAATTCCAGCTATGAGTCACTAGGCAACCCTGTGTCACGTGACTCCAACTTTGTCAAATGTAGAAATAAATGCCCCTTTAACGGTTGAGTAGTTCCTTTCCTCCCATCAGGAGAGAGGGCCCTACCTGACCTCAGCTTTTCTCTATTTCTTCATCCTCTCGCAATTTTCCCCCAGAAAAATCAAGAGCCCCACCAGCTAGTGGCAAATAGGCTTCTACAGCAAATGTCAAACCAGCTTTGTCTATTAGAAAGATCTGACCCAAAATAGAAGTACCAGCCTCAAACACACACTTGGTGGATTGTGACCAATGTGTCAATCTTTCTATTGTTTCAGGGGATATAGGAGCTCACTATGTTGCCCAGGCTGGCCCCCAGCTCCTAAGCTCAAATAATTCTCTTGCCTCAGCCTCCTGAGTAGCGGGTACATGCCACACTCGGCTCATTGTGCAAGTAATTGTAAAGCAGTTTGAGAGGCACAACTCCACCCAGATCAAATGATATCAGTAATAATGTCCAACACCAAGTAGCTCTCACTTTCTCATCTCCATAAAGCCACTGCCTTCCTGTTAAGATAAACCTTAAAACCAGACGTAACAAGCAGCTGTCTCCTCCATTACGAGCCTTTTCTACCCCACCACCCGTCCCCACTTTGCTTCAAAAGCAAACCTTCAGGGTTCTTCCCAAGTTGTGCATCAGCAGACTGATGAGGGGAGAGAGGAGGTCACTGCACTTGAGGATGCAGGTGAAGTTAACCTGCTGCAATTGCATCCTAATCCTCCCTCCAGGAAAGGCAAAACGAATGTGTGAACCTGGAGTTCAGACCCACAGGACAGGTGGACAGTCTTTCCCAGCATCAGGTGTAGAGGGGAATTTTCACCTTGAGTCTAAAATCCCCTTCAGGCCATAGAATATCACAGAATTTTTCAGCTGAAAGGGAATAAAACCCTCACTTCTTATTGAAGGTATCAGGAGAGAAAGTAGGGTTAGGCTAGAGCAGTGATGGCAAA